TGTTTTAGATTGATTCGAACGAAAAAAAATATTTTGCAATTTATTAAAATTAATATAAATTAATATAAAATATTTATGATTAAAGTTAGTTTAACATTTTTATAACTTTGTGTTCGTTTGCTTTCCTGTAAATGAGAATCATTTTTATTCTGCTAAAATGGAATTATTTTGTTGGAATTGAAGCTAATTTGACTGTTAAGTTGGGAAATATTTTTTTGGACCAAGGACTGAAGATGCCGTTTGAAAAAACTGTTTTTTAATCAGCAACCGCTGCCGAATATCCAGAGCTCACAGACCGAGCAATAAAAACTCTTCAATTTTCATCCATCTATTCATGTAAAATTGGTTTTTCAGGCAGATTGTGATGAAGATCGAATGCAGAAAGTGTTTGGATGTTTGATCGCCACTACGAAATGAGTAAATGATAAAAAAGAAGCAAGCTCATTTGTCGCACACGACAATAACAATTTTCATTTTTAAATGTTGAAACATATTTTATTGTTATTTTATTTTTTGAATATAAATTGTAGCGTGCGTGAATGTGTGTGGTTGTGTGTGCACACGAGTTCTTGCGCAATTCTGACAGAATACATTGGCTTATTAGATGTTCAAACTGTAAGCAGAATGTTGGTTATGATAGGAAGTGGTTAGTTAGCATTCAGCTTTGTAAATGTATAGTCAATTTGTGATTCGTTTGAATTGTTCATTTCCTATTAGATCCAATAAACAATTGTTTGTGAATGAATGAAAAGAAGGGTTTATTTGTTTTCATTTTGAATATAAGTTAGTCGTTATATTTACAGAAAAGTTTTTTAAATCTGCCGATAAAACCAAGAAACGCTGGACATATCGCAAAATAAACGCATTGAAACAAAATTTTCAACAAATTATTATTGCTAAGAATGTTTCAGCAAACAACATCTAACCTTAGTTCTGCCCGCGGAACCACACTTAAGGTTCTTAAGAGATATCCATCGCTTGGAATCTTGCAGAAGAGTGTATGAGCAGCAGCCTTCGTAGATGTATTCAGCACCGTCGAATGTCTTCCAGTAGTTGCTTCCTCCTCCGTAACAATATTTTGTGCTCTTCTCGTTAACTGGGGCAAGTTTAAGAAAAAATTTCGTAAGAAACAGTTCGTGGTTCATGTTTTATTCGCTTTTACAATTTGTCATCAACAGTATCACACCTGAATATTATTTTTTTATATATTCATTTAAATCCTCGTTATTTTTTTTTAGAATACAATAATGTTTTTCATTTTTTAAATTCAGCTTAAATTTAATAAAATTTTCAATTTTTGTGAAACTCAAAAGATTTTATGTACAGATAAACTTTTATTAATGCTCGGACTGCTGCGCAATGCGAATTTATTTTATTGATTGATTCACTTTCTCAGCGGCTAGCTATTGATCGTTCGAGTGCAAACCTTTAAATTCAAATGCTTCTAATAACAACTGAATGATCTTTAATATTTTTATTAAAAGTTCAACAAGCTGTTGCTGTTAGAATCAATTCGTTTTATTTTATATGTTGTACTTCTCAACAAAAAACAACATAACAAGTTGCACCTCTCAACAAACAACAACAACAACAATTTGAAGTGTTATGACTCTAAAAATCAACAGCTGTACATGTTGTGATTTTTCAACAAGCAACAAAAATGTTGCTACTTGAAACATCCAACAAGCATAAACAGTGAAATATTTTGTTAATGTGATTCTAAACAAACAATGAGATGATATCAAGCAGCTAATAACAATCATACTCCATCAACAACAACGATTTTGTATCTCTTATGAAACAACACCAAAAACAGCAATGACATCAGCAACAACTACTACTACTGCCACTACTTATTTCTACAACAACAACTACTACTACTGCTGCTGCTGCTGCTACTATTAATATTACTACTACTACTACTATACCACTATTATAATACTACTACAACTAATACTGCTGCTGCAATAACAACAACCACAACAACCGCACTAACATTTGGGATTTGACTCAGGAAAACTTGGCAGCGTGGGCTCTCCTACACCTGGTGCACTGGTTAATGAAGGATTGAAGAATGATGGTTGATCGCATTTTACGTTTATATTAAATTTGATATACCAAATTATTAAACTATGAATAAAAAACTATACTTACAAATATCAAATTTTATTTATTAACATCACCATCAATTTGTACACATCACCTTATCACAAATTTTTACCAACTGTACACTTCCTGTCATCATCAACTTGTACAAATCACCACACCATTGAGCGGCATGATGGCCTAGTGGTTAAGGTCGCCTGGTGCTGTTTCGCAGTGCATGCAGTGGCCGGGTTCGAGTATGACAAAAAAATGCCCGCCTCTCACATGCTTCGTTCGTGATGCATCGTTTTGCACGTATTCATATACGCTGTTTGTGTGATATTCATTCCTCTGAACCTAGGAAGAGTGCAACACATCTTTAACCTTTCAACTGATCGGCAAGTTAGCTCAGATCTTAGATGTCTCGTTAGCGTTGGTATTGCGCGATTCAACACTCAAAGATGCGCAAATGATGCGTATGTAGTATTATTATTAAAATGTATGTATGTATTTTTTATTATTAAAAAATTTATATAGCGCCCTTTAATATCACTCATAGGCACAGGCATTAATTTGTGCACAACATCGCATCATCCACTTTTACATATCAATATTCAAAAATAAGAACATAGCTTCACTTGAAAGTTAATTCATCTGCTTATTTATTGGCAGATAAATAGACTGATTCCATGTATGTTTTTGGTATTAATACAATCACTCATCCACATGATCGTCATTGAATTGTTTAACATCAATATGAGATGACATCAATTCATTCCATCCTTCAATCGCATCTTCACATCACCATTTCTCAAAACCACCTGGTTAAATCCTGAGCGAGTACGACTTGCAGGCAGGCGCTCGCGAGGAGGATTAAGGATGACGTCACCATTCGAGACGTCTCCATCTTGTCTTTAATTTTTCAGTAGAGAATCGAAAAAATGACAGGTTTGAGATTGCGGCTGTTACGTTGAAAGAACGTTCTTCTGATTAATTTCAGAAATAAATTTAATTAAGAAAGTATTTGACTCTTTCTATATCAGTTCGTTCGATTACTTGCAACAACCATCACGATACGCGTGCCAACTGACAACCGGCTTATATAGGCCAGGCAGGATGGAGATCGATGAATGTGGGGAGGGGGGGGTGGCAGGTTCAAGATGTTTCTTTATTGTTCTCCTCTCAGCTAACGATTAATAGATCGCCAAGGTATTCGTTTCGATTATAACAATGATAATGGTGATATTTGTGATGATTATGATGATGTTATTTGTGATGATGATGAAAAATTCATGATGGTGATGTTCGTGATAATGATGACGATTATTCGAGCGATGATAATGGTAGTGATTGTGGCGACTGTGATAGCTACAACAACGAACGACAACGAGAGGGTTACTTTTTCATAGGAAACATTTTTAATAATTAAAAATACCCTACCCCCACCTCGCCTATCTATATGTTTGAATATTTACTTTACTTTTACTATTTATTTTATTTTACGTATAGAATTTAAATATCATAACATCTTTGTTGTTACTCCTTCACACATCTCATCAGTTTCTAAAAGATACTTTCTTAATAAGCATCTGTTGACTAAGATATGACTTAGAGACCAAAGAAGCTAATCGATAGACCAATGAAGTTATTGATAGACCAATGAAGTTAACTGATAGACCAATTAAGTTAATTGATAGACCACTTAAGCTAATTGACAGACCAATTAGGTTAATTGGCAGACCAATTAAGTTAATTGATAGACCAATTAAGTTAACTGATAGATCAATTAAGTTAATTGATAGACCAATTAAGTTAATTGATGGACCAATTAAGTTAATTGACAGATCAATTAAGTTAATTGATAATTTATAGACCAATAAAGTTTATTGGCGTCCAGTTGGTGGTCGAATGAGCTTATAACAGTGCGCGAGGATTTTTATTATTCATGTATATCATTATTGTTATTATTATGATCGTAACTGCCGTTTCTCCATGTACTCATTCATTCTAAATTTTTTATGAATGACGAGCATTGTAGATTATTTCTATTTTATTTTATTCACTATTAAATTATCATATAATATAATATACCTACCAATTGACATCTATTTTTTACTGTTTTTCGATAATAATAACAAAGTTTCTATTATTATTTGTTTTTATAATAAAAATTCTTTTATTACATTTTACTAAGAGTGTACAGCACTGAAATTATTACTTTTTATTACAAACATTGATTTTATTTGACCTTTTGAAATGGCAATTATAGTGCGATTAGCAACAGCTTGTGGTGAAACTTTTTTGACGAATCGGTAGATTTAAAAATTAACCATCATTAAAGAGATTTTATTATTATTATTGGATTAATAAAATTTATCATTTAATGTTATAATTAATTCTATCGGAAACCGATCTTATTGTACTTAGCTCTATTAAATCGACATTTTAGGAATTTTCGAATAACTTTTGAAAGAAATATTATGAAGAACATTATTTTCACGTAACAAATTTTATCATTAAGTATGCTTGAAACATGTAAAAAAATTCCAATTTATAAATTAACGTTTCAACTTGCTGGTCGGATCAACGGGACAGACCAAATTTAAATGACTATGAAATGCCGCTAAATGTCAGGCGTCACACGTTTCCTACAGAGGTGATATAACTTTCCACTCAATTTAAACAGAATCATAAAATAGTAAAATTAAATTTGTGTGTCAATAAAATTCTTATCAAAGTCAGAACAAATTTTCTAATACAAAACAACATTAATCAATAGCATATTAAAAGTTAATAAAATCGAAAATACCAATAGAACATTATCTCCTAATTGCAGCCAATTAACTTTTGATCGTTATATAAATCATCCCATAAGACGTATACAAAATAATTCAGCAGGGTAAACTTTAGTTGCTTCACTTTCCCCTCCTATTAGCAATGTCGGTTAGATTCCTGGTATTTTTGTCCCTGTTCCTCCTATTGCTGAACCACTTATTAACTTTAGAGCTGGAAATTCCGCACTGGCTGGCCAGGGACTCACATGTTTTCCAATCAGGATAGGGAAAGTTAAAGTTATTCTGGTAGTAATTTTCTAATATACGTGTATGATCAAGCGACAGAATGACTCTTTTCTTAACTAATTTTGTTGAATTCCTTGAGGTTGTCTGTTGCTGACCAGCAACAACATTCCGGTCAAATAATGTAGTGGTTGAAGTTGGTGTTGAGATGTTTGCTGGTTGCTGGAAATTTGAAATAGAAAGACTTCGATGAGTATTTTTGATAATGTTTTTAGACCTTTGATTAACACACTGTTTGTTGTTATTAATGTTTGAAATAGTTTCGGATGAGCAAATTGAAGAAAGCTGATCTGGATCTGTTAGTGTTGATTTGTGAACTCGATAAGAACTGGAGAAACTATTTGAATCGTTGTCAGTCTGGTTAAAATGTTTTTGGTTAAAATGTTGATGGTTGAAATGTCGTTGATTGAAATTTTGTTGATTGAAATGTTGTTGGTGTTGAATGAGATTTTGTCGGTTAAAATAGTGATAACTGAATTTTTGCTTGTTGAACATTTGTTGATGGGATTGTTGTTGATGCAGTTGTTCGGTACTGAAAATACTTCCATTTAAAGATTGGTCGTTGTATATTTGTTGATTGGAATGTTGCTGATTGAATTGTTGTTGATTGAACTGTTGTTGGTTGAAATGTTGTTCATTAAAATGTTGATTACATGAATGTTGTTGATTATATTTCTGGTAATGAAAATTTGGGTTATTGAAATAATGTCGATTGAAATTTGGTCGATGTGAATATTTATCAAAATCTTGAATGTTTGCATCAGAGTTTAAAAAATTATTATGATTAAAATTCTTTGTTAGCCAATACTCAGTTGCATGTATGTAATCATACTCCTATCAATATGCAGGCTGTTTTCACTAAACTGTTTTGCTAGTATTCTTTTGGTTGTTAATACTTGCAATGCAACATTTCAATCAACAAATATAAAATGATTAATCTTTAAATGAAAATATTTTCTGTGCAGAAAAACTACACGTTCAATCTCTTACGTCACCATTGAATCTGTATCTACACCCCGGAACAACTCTACAAAATTGATACTTATGTTTAGATTATTTTCAGAACTTATTATAAAGAAACAGTATATATATTTTAAAATTAAAAAAAAAACAAATAAAATTAATTAGATCATTAAAAAAACTAATTAAAAATTTTTAAAATTCTAACATTAGTATAATGATAGTCATCTTCGACTTTTACCTTACCAAGTTCAAACTCCTCACCACCCATGTCACCATCTTCATCATCGTTTTCAAACTTAATGTTATTCATAGAATAGTGAGTTTTAATCAAATTATCACCATCTTCACCATCGTCTTCAAACTTAATGTTATTCATAGAATAATGAGTTTCATTAAAACAAGTTGTCGAATTGTGAATGGAAGGTTCCTCATGATAAATTTCATTCTTTATAGATGAGTTCAGATCCTCATCTTCATTACCATCATCCATATTGTTGTTGTTGTTGTTGTGGCTATTGTCATATAAATCATCTAGTGTATTACTAAAAGTTAATGAGCTATTGTTATTATTGTTGTTCAGGCTGTTGCGATTGTCAATAGTTTTATTGTTTTTGACGTGGCGTTTTCTTTCTGGAAACTGCAAAAAAATACATGATTGGAAAATGTGACTTGGTACTAATTGTTAAATAATAAAAAAAGTAAAATGAAAAAATAATACATTTTTATTGTCCAGCAGGTGACGATTAGCTTCGGAAAAGTTCTTGTTGGAAGCAAAATTTAAATTTGAGTTTATGATACTGTCAAAGTTGTTATTATTATCATTTTGGTTTTCGTCTTTCATGAGTTCCTGACTGACCTGAGTAGACTTATTGTTACAACAGTTCAAAATGTTATTATTATCGTTGTTGTTGTTATTATCACCACCATCATCATCATCAGATATTAATGTAGAACTAATTGAAATTGATGGTTTCACTTTTTTCCTCCGACTACTGCTGCTGCTGTTGTGACCATGGACATAACCGAGGTTCTTGTTTATACTTACAGAGTTAGAACCATTATTGTTACATTTCTTTTGAACAGTAGTAGTGTTGTTAATATTTTTGTTGTTGTTGTTAATATTATTATTGTTGTTACCAGAATCATCATTATTATGATCAACAACTTCCCTGATGTTAACAAGCAACACTTCGTTGCGATCAATCGTGACGGCCAACAGGCCATCCACTGAAAACTGAGATTCGAATTTAAGACCTGATTTACAAAGCAATAAAATCGTCTCACACAATCTTGTTTTCAGCCAATTTTCGGCGTCTGGGGACAAAATCATATTTTTCACAAATGTAAACAAATCTTTATATTTTAACGACGGTAAAAGTATACAAGTCCACTACGCATTCAATTACTTTTGTGAGATAAGCATGGAAGTTGGAGTATAAATAGAGTAAAAAGTGAACCTAGATTAATAATTAAAATAAATTGAAAGTTTTAGATAAAATATCGTAAAAATCTCAAAAAATGTGAAAAGAGAAAAGAAAAAAATTTTGTAATTGTATGAACTAAAATATTTACAAACGTTGGAAGTGTTCACAAAAGTTAGAAATATTTACAAAGTTTGGAAACAATTAAAAAATAAATTTATCGGAATGAAAATCGATGCCTCCTCTTTCCCTTCTATTAGCAATGTCGGTCAGACTTCTGGTATTTTTGTCCTTGTTCCTTCTATTGCTGAAAATTCCTTCTAGAGCTGGAAATTCCGCACTGGCTGGCCAGGGACTCACATGTTTCCCGATCCAGGATATGGAAAGTTGAAGTTATTCTGGTAGTAATTCTCTAATATACTTGTTTAACCTTTCGACAGAATGACTTTTTTCTTAAACACTTTTGTTGAAATTGTCTGTTGTTGACCAGCAACAACTGTTTGGCCGAATGATGTAGTAACTGAAGTTGATGTTGAGGGATTTGCTGTCTGCTTGAAATTTGGAATCGAAAGACTATGATTAGCATTTTCGTCCATTTACATGTGATGTGGGTAAAATCTCGATGCCTCTGGAAACGAAAGACTGGAAGAAAAAAGTGATTTTGCTATGAACCCGACTCAGGAAACGAAAGACTGGAAGAAAACGGAGCTTTTGCTATAAACCCGACTATGCAGATAATGCCAGAGGTCCAATGCTATCCACACAAGTTTTAGTGTTGAAATAAAAACAACTCTAATATCAAGTTGAATTCAATGCAAATCTTATCTTTATCGCCGTCAAAAGGCATGTTCTGATAAAAAATTAAAAATAAACAATAACAAAATTGAAATCAAAATAATGCCAAATACCAATAAAACAATATCTCAAAAAATAACGTCTGTTAAATATTAATCGTTATATTTATCACAAATTACCACAATATATACAAATATATATATCACAAATTATATCACAAAATATGAAATAATAATAAATTCAATCAATAAACTTCAAAAATGTACCATAAATGAGATATTTACAAAGGTTGGAAATATTTACAAAACAATTCAGCAGAGTGAAAGTTAGTTGCCTCCTCTTTCCCTCCTATTAGCAATGTCGGTTAGACTCCTGGTATTTTTGTCCTTGTTCCTCCTATTACTGAACCACTTATTAACTTGAGAGCCGGAAATTCCGCACTGGTTGGCCAGGGATTCACATGTTTCCCGATCAGGATAGGGAAAGTTGAAGTTATTCTGGTAGTAATTCTCTAACATTTTTGTTTTATCTTTCGACAGAATGGCTCTTTTTTTAACCACTTTTGTTGATTTATTTGAGGTTGTCTGTTGTTGACCAGCAACAACTGTTTGGCCGGATGATGTAGCAACTGAAGTTGATGTTGAGGGAATTGCTGGCTGCTTGAAATTTGGGATCGAAAAACTTTGATAAGCATTTTCGTTGATGTTTTGAGAATTATGATTAACAAACTGGTTGTTGTTTTTAATGTTTAAATTAGTTTCGGGTGAGCTAAGGGAAGAAGCATCTGTAGTAGGTGTTGATTTGTTAGAGGCATAAGAACTACAGAAATTATTTGAAGCATTGTTATTCTCGTTGTAATATCGTTGGTTGATATGTAGTCCGTTGAAGTTTTGTTGGTTGTTATTTTGTTGGTGTGAACTTTGTTCGTTGAAATGTGTTGGATTGAAATGTTGTTGGTTGAAATATCGATAACTGAAATGTTGGTTGTCAAAATGTTGTTTGTTGAACTTTGGTTGATATGATTGTTGTTCATAAAGTTGTTCTGCACTGCAAATATTTTGATTTAATGATTGGTCGTTGTATATTGGCTGATTGAAATGTTGCGGATTGAAATATTGCTGTTCGAAGTGTTGTTGGTCGAAATGTTGTTGATTAGCATGTTGAATAAATGGACGTTGTTGATTATAATATGTTTGGTAATGACAGTTTGGGTAACTAAAATAATGCCGATTGAAATTTTGTCGATGTGAATATTAATCAAGATCTTGATAGTCATGAATGCTTCCATCGGAGTTTGAAAAAGTATTGTGGTTGAAATTGTTTGTTGGCTGATTGCTGAGATGCGTATTTGTTTTCATGTTAATATTAGTATCCAGGCTGTTTGTACAAAACCCTGGTGATAAAGTTTCTGAGAATGGGTTCAGATAGTTGTTGTTGTTTATACTATTGTAGTTGTTACCATTACTACTGTTTCCAATGGTTAGTTGTTGACTCATTTTTGTAGAGATCTAAATGTTATTTACTGCGATTTGTTGGATTATATTTATTAATTTAACACTGGATATTGTCCGGTCAAGTTCCCAAGGTTGAATGAATGATCTTTTTTTATCAACTCACTTATATAGACTTGTGGATGCAATGATATAAAGTTTTTTTTTTGAAAATTGTAGACATATTAAATTTTCCGTCGAGCCTTTTAAATTTATTGGATGATTGTCCGCTTTTTTTTCCTCGTGCCAACTTGATGGAAAATTTTTAATTTGAATTAAACGCTGGATGTTGTCCGGTCGAGTTACCAAGGGTGAATGAAAGTTTTTTCTCATCAACTCGTTTATATAGACTTTTGGTCGCCTTGATGAAGGTTCTTTGGAAAGATTTGACCAATTAACTTTTCCGTCGAGTCTGCTAACTTAATTGGATGATTGTACGTCATTGTTTCCACGCGCCATTCTTGACACTTAGAATTCTTGACACTACGTGTCACAAATTTTTTTACCGATCAATCAGTTTTTCATTGGTGACACTTATTTTTGACAGCTCCCTACTTATTACAAGCAAATGATTTTGTAACAATAATATTTTAAACTCTTGGCGCTTTTCTCTTAGATTTCCTTTAATCAACTTTTTTTATTCTCATGATACGGGGAAAATTGAAAATCGATCGATCAAATAATTTTCATTTGAATGTATTGTTGAAATAGTAATGTGATGCTGTAATTTTCTTTTAAGATACCATATAAATGAAGTGTAATTTCAATAAAATGAATATGATGGGATGTACAATGAGTTTATGTAGTACCAAGCCAAACCAAGCTGATAAAACTTTAAACCAAATTAAATTGACTTGAAGGTTTATGGTCGCAATTAGAAAAAGTTTTTAATGAAGATTGTAGACTAATTAACTTTTCCGTCGAGCCTATTAAATTAATTGGATGATTATCCGCTTTTTTTCCACGTGCCAACTTGATTGAAAAATTTTATATTTAATTAAACGCTGTATGTTGTCCGGTCGAGTTACCAAAGTTATATGAAAGTATTTTCTCATTGAAATTCTGTTGATGTGACTATTTATCATGAATGTTGGCTTCGAAGTTAGAAAATTTATTGTGGTTGAAATTGCTCGTTGGCCGATTGCTGAATTGCGTGTTTGTGTTCTTTTTTCTATTAACATCCAGGCTGTTTGCACAAGACTCTGGTGATGAAATACCAGGGAGTGTGTTTTGGTAGTTGTTGTTTTTTCTCGTTCTATTTTAGTTGTTACAACTACTACTGTTTGTTATGGTTAGTTGTTAACTCGTTTTGTTAAGATTTATTTGTTAATTTTTGATTAAATTAATTACCGGTTGTGTTGGGTAATATTGAATTCAAATGATTTAATGTTTATTGGTCTACTCTTAAACTTTTCCATTTTGTTACGATATAATCCAACTTCAAACATCGTTCTATGTAATTTACACTCGATTTAAAAAAAAATTTAAAAATTTATTCAATGCTATTTTTGACACATGAAAACTGAAAAAATAGGCTTTTAAAAACTTCTTCAAAGTAACAAAAAACACATACTTATTTAAATAAAAAATAATTTCATAAAACTCAAATTAAATATCGATATATACGTGTCATGTCATTTCAGCATCATTCATGGGTGACCATCCCAAAACCAAACCATTCCAGTGAGATGGCTGAGATGAGGTAACGACAAAGCACTCGTTCTTGCGCTGCATTGATATCATTCGAATGCATGGAAATCCTCTCCCTCCTGTTGTATATGCAATAATGGATTATAATTATGCAATTAATATATGCAAATTATGCGTACGATGTACGCTCGTTAACCATTGAGAGCACCACTAGAACGATACGGAAATGGCCTTATATACAAATCTAAGAGATTTTGTTAGACAATAGAAGTTAATCAATCAAGCATGTGTTCAATTGAAGTTTCTAGTATCAACTAGCAAATTATGAAATACTTTTTAGTTGAATAGCGTCTGTAATGTCGACACCGACACTGTTTCATTTTTTTTAATCTCAAATTTTTGTGCACACGTGCCACGATGTTGTATCTTTGTTTGACTTGTTTAGTTTTTAAAAGTAAATTTATGCTCAGTAAAAAACAAATATTCATCGTTAATACAGGTCGACACAATCTTCTAACTAGTTCGCCGTTTCATTTCGTTTAGGAAATTCATTCAAAGAAATAAAATGTCGAATTCGAAAGCCATCGACCTGAGCAAATATGACCTCTACGAACTGTTGAACGTCCCTCGCCTTTCCAGCGAAAAACTGGTGAAGAAGGCCTACAGGAAGCAGGCTCTCAAACTTCATCCGGACAAGAATCCAAACAATCCAAAAGCGGGTGGGTGATTGCCGTGTGGAGTAATATGACTTTTTAATTTAATATTTTTAATTTTTTGAACTCTCTTAAATAAAAGTTCGGCTCAGGATTAGGCTGCTTTTTTATTTAATAATTTTTGATTAATGAAGTTTATTATAAATTATAAATAAAAAAAATATATAATCTATATAATGTCAATTAATAATATAATAAATTTGGAAAACAGATTTTACTTTAAAATAATTAAAATTAAATAAATTCAAATTATTAAACTTTATTGATTAATTTTATTTTATTTAATCGCTTAAGGACCATCAATTAAGATTTAATTTAATTAAGGCTTTAGGAGATAGTCTTCTCTTTTGTCATGATCTCTCTGCTTGCATAATATGTACCTATATATATATATATATATATATATATATATATATATATATATATATATATATATATATATATATATATACATTATATAGGTCAGTCATTGTAGCTAGCATCTAAGTTCAGTCTCATTCGTGATTAATCAGTCAATTTATCTATTTTATATAAATTTATTTTGATAATATTATCTTCATTAATTTTATTAACATTAAAAAATTTCTAGCTGAACAGTTCCAGTTGTTACAGAAAGCATTTGAGTTGCTCTCAGATCCCGTTCAAAAAGTAAATTCATAGCTACTTTTTAAGACCAATTTCTAAGATGTTTTTTGTGTGGTAGTTTTTTCTACAAATATTCAATAAAAATTATTCAAAATTTAAGAAAAATGTTTTAATTTATATTTCCTACTTACCATTTCCTTATTTTAGCAGTATCAATAAAAATATGAAATTAATTATCATTTATTCAGGATGAATACGACAGAGTCATCAAAGCCAAGGAGCAGGCAGAACAGAAGAGGAGGGAGATGGATGCCGTAAGGAAGAGATTTGCCGATAGTTAATATTCATACATTTTTTTTATCTTGTTACCCTGCCATATTTGTACACATGATTGCATTTTAGAATGTTTATTTAGTTACTTGGTTTTTATTTAATAATTTGCAGATAACCACTACTTGCTAGTTCTCTTTTTATTAATGATAATTAATTTTAATATTTATTTTGATCTACATCAACTCCAATGGACATTAATTTTGATGGGTATAAATTTTATTAAGTGATGGTGCTGATAAAAATGTTAAAATATAGAATTAGTGGCTGACGAAGCAAAAGTGAAGAAGCAGAAGGAAGAAGAAGATGCTTTCAAACTGGTTTGTATTTTGATATTTTTTATTTGTTTTTTTTTCGTTGCAAAAACTTTTCATTCAATTCACAAATTGTAAAAAATAATATAGTGATCATATTAGCAACAAATTTCAAGATTTGAAGCAACATAATTAGTCTGATACTTTGATTTGATTGGCTCTTCTTAATCCAATTTTTAAATTTAATTTTTTTTGAATAAAATATTTTTTGCTGTCTTCAATTAAAAGCATATTATATTGTCAACAATCTTCATCTTAAACATTCACCACACAACAGCAAGAGGAATTGATAAAACAAGCCAGACTGAATGCAGAGAGAGAACGAGAAGCTGAAGAAGAGAGAGATCGACTGAAGAGAAAACTAATGAAAGAGAGCAAAATGAAAGATGGTGACAATGAGGGTGGGTATAATGTCAAGGTCAGTAATAATTATCTTATTAATAATAAATTAATTATTGCAATATACATGCAAATAATTATTTATTACATTCAATTACATCGCGGAAATTGCGCTTTACAAACTAATTGATTGATTGGTTGATTGATTGAGTAACTTGTTAGTTTGAAGAGATATTTTAAATTTTAATACAAAATTAAAAATCAAATTTTTTTAAAATAAAATTCATAATGTAACCTAATAATTTTTATTAGCTAATTTTTTTATGCAATTTTTGAAGGTTAAGTGGAAGCCTTCACCGGGCCACGGCTACGATGAAAAAAAATTGAAAGCTATTTTTTCAAAGGTGCAACTGATTCATTGCCTTCTTATTCTTCTTTCACGTGTATATGTTAATGTATTGTTAATGATAATAATAATTTCAAACCATATCTTTGCCTTTACAATATAACATTATGGTAAAATTATAATAATTTCTTGGAGTAAAATTTAGAAAGCATTCTCTCTCTCTCTCTCTCTCTCTCTCTCTCTCTCTCTCTCTCTCTCTCTCTCTCTCTTTCTCTCCTATTCTTTCACTTTCTCTCTTCATATTGTATGTATATATTATTTCCAATTTAGCTACCCTGATCTTATTGATACATCTGTTAATATATGTATAATATTATAGGTAGTCTTCATTTATTTATAATTGTTTTAACTTCATGTGAATTAACTTCAATACTAACCAACCAACCATTCAAATTATCTGTTACACGTGAATTAACTTCAATACAAACCAATCAAATCATCTGTTGTTTGTGAATCAACTTCAATACCAATCAACCAACACAATCATCAATCAAATCATCTATTTTTTGCAGTATGGTGCCGTAAGAGAACTGATCCTACCAGCCAACAAGAAGGGTCTGTGCCTCGTGCAATACGCCAAACAATGTCAAGCTGTTGGTGCTTATTGTTATCATCATTATTATTGGTGTTAAATATTATTAATACTTTACTCATGTTATTATTATTGTTATTATGTTATTTATTCTATTGACATTCCTCAGAGGATTGTACTGTGATTAAATGCTTTGTTGGACAAATAACTTTTTAACTCGCTACTGAAACCTTTTTCTGGTTATTGACTGGTTTACTTTTTTTGTGTTGTTTGTGACTCTAATTTTTAACATTAATGATAGTGAAATGATAGTAGTAGTAGCAACAGCGGTACTATCAACTTTTACTAACTAGGTTTTGTGTTTTATTGATAAATTGTGATATATTAATGATATTATATAGTATTAGTAGTAGTAATTGTAGTATTAGCAACAGTTGTAGTAGTAGTAGTAGTGGTGGTGGTGGTGGTGGTGGTGGTGGTGGTGGTGGGGGTGATCGTAATAGTAGCAGTAGTAGTAGAAGTAGTAATAGTAGTGGTAATTGCAATGTTATCATTAAAATTAGATTGTTAAAATTGATATTTTTCAAAGGTTACCAGTTTGGATGAAGCGGGCCTACCGTCATGCCCCATGAAAGTAACGCTGATGTTCCAAGTACAACCGGAACACGTGAGTGGTGTGCACTGTACTGTACTGTGCTGTATAATGTGCTATCATGTATTAACAATATATACTAACAAATGGTTTGTGTGTGTTTGTGTTTGTGTGTGTGTGTGTGTGTGTGTGTGTGGGCAGTGACGGATTTAGACGACAACTTTGATGGGGGCCAATATTTTGAAAATTTTTAAATTTTTATAGGGGCTAAAATTTTCACGGGGGAAGGGGGGAAAATTTGTGGCAGTGTGGCTGACGACCTTTTTTGCTTCCAATTTTTTGTTGATTTTCTCGATTTTCTACTAAAACGGTCTTTTTTCTGGCTTTTATTTAAAAAAGCTTTCACAACGGGTGGGGCCAGTGAAACTCAGCTGTGATGACGATGGTGATGATGATAATTACAATAAAGCTGATGATGTTTTTAATAGTTTGTTGATGATAGAGAAGTTGATGATGATATTGTTTACATGTTGAAGATGATGATGACATTATTTTCATATTCACAAACTTGCTCATCACAGGTTGATGATTTCGACTCATTTGAGCAACTCGTGCTGAAAAACATGCAGAACATGAGCGGAAGCAGCAAAAACAACAATACCGAGAAAAATAATAATAATAATAACGACGACGACGATGACAACTGCAACAACCACCTCCAGGACGGTAGCCTCAACATGAATACGAACGACAGCCGCAACCACAAAAATAAGTGCAATAATAATAGTTTCGCTAATGATGCGAAATGTCATCACACATGTAACGATTATAATGTTAAAAATAGTAATAGACTCAACGACAGTTCGACAAATCACGGGCATCAAACGCCACCCACCTCATCATCAACGTCATCACGAAAAGTGGATCGAGGTCGTGAGAGTGTGCTGGAGATGGAGATGAGAAGGCAAGAGGAGAGACGAAAAATTATTGAACAGATGATGCAAGATGATTTGAACAATTAACTACCCATTGTTGTACATCTACTCATATAGTAATTATTTATCATTGATTATTTTAATATTTGTTTTTATACAGCGTTTCAATAATGTATTAAATTGTTATTTATTGTACCATTGCTGCACCAACTAAGATAAGTATACAAGTACATGATCTGATCTGTTTGTTACCTGTGGTGGTTCTATACTGATGATTCTCTACATTATTATTATTATTATTATTATTATTATTATTATTATTATTATTATTATTATTATTATTATTATTATTATTATTATATAAACTCCGTTGTAGTTCTCAAAGAATAATTCACGTAGCATAAACATTTACTAGAAACATTTTACAACATATCATAATGGCTAAATCAACATATCAAACAGAAACTATTTATACATACATACAGACATACATACATACATACATACATACATACATACATACATACATACATACCCTGAGCTGCATCCTCAAGAGTTCGAGCGGCTACCAACTACACTGTCAAGATGGACGCCAATGATGTCATCTGCATGAATATGTATAACGTTTTACAACTGATGGCCGCATGTAATTGATTTGTGTATGTGTATAATATTTCCGGTTTGTCTGTTGGCGCCAGATCAATCCTGTACATATGGATCGGGGCAAATTTCGTTAGAACATTTTTTAGGTAATACTTTTCCGTGGATATTTTATAAAAACACTTCAAAAGGAAGAAATTGTCTCAAATTTTTTTTTAATCCTTTCGAATACCAGATTATACCCATTTCTCAGGAACTCTACCTCCTTCTCTGACGACTTCTACATCATTTACAAAGTTTAGAGCGAATCTCAAGACCTATCTGTTTGCAAAATTAATTGAAGAGCGCTCTTGAACATAGCGGAAATAGCGCTTTTAAAACAATCGATTGATACTTATAAAATTCTGGTTATGTGATTAATATTAATACAATGACACGAAACATGGCATTACTTGGCTATGGTCTGTTTTAGTAATTGCGGCGTTTAGTTTCACCGTTGGCTAATCGATTTTTGTTTTTAAATTGTTAAAAGTAATCAGGAAATTAATATAAATATCAAGAATATCGAAAAAGTTAGAAAGACACTGAATAATAGATCGGCTTAATTTTTCAGGAATTATCAGTTTTAAAAATTGTTAAGATATAAAGATTTGTTTACATTTGTCGAAATATGATTTTGTCCCCAGACGCCGAAAATTGGCTGAAAACAGGGTTGTGTGAGGCGATTTTATTGCTTTGTAAATCAGGTCTTAAATTCGAATCTCAGTTTTCAGTGGATGGCCTATTGGCCGTCACGATTGATCGCAACGAAGTGTTGCTGGTTAACATCAGGGAAGTTGTTGATCATAATAATGATGATTCTGGTAACAACAATAATAATATTAACAACAAAAATAATAACAACACTATTACTGTTCAAAAGAAAAATAACTATATTGCTTCGAACTCTGTAAGTATAAACAAGAACCTCGGTTATGTCCATGGCCACAACAGCAGCAGCAGTAGTCGGAGGAAAAAAGTGAAACCATCAATTTCAATTAGTTCTACATTAATATCTGATGATGATGATGGTGGTGATAATAACAACAACAACGATAATAATAACATTTTCAACAGTAGTAATAATAATACTACTCAGGTCAGTCAGGAATTTATGAATGACGAAAATCAAAATGATGATAGTAACAACTTTGACATTATCATAAACTCAAATTCTAATTTTGCTTCCCACGAGAACTTTTCCAAAGCTAATCGCCACTTGCCGGACGATAAAAATGTATTATTTTTTTCATTTAACTTTTTTTTATTATCTAACAACATTTAATACCAAGTCACATTTCTAATCATGTATTCTTTTTTGCAGTTTCCAGACAGAAAATGCCACGTCAAAAACAACAAAACTATTGATAACCGCAACAGCCTGAACAACAATAATAACAATAGCTCATTAACTTTTAGCAGTACACTAGATGATTTATATGACAATAGCCACAACAACAACAATGTGAATGATGATAATGAAGATGATGATGAGAACTCTTCTCTAAAGAATGAAATTTATAGCGAGGAACCTTCCACACACAACTCGACAACTCGATTTGATGAAACTCAATATTCTATAAATAACATCAAATTTGTAGACGATGATGAAGATGGTTATGTGGACAATGAGGAGTTTGACCTCAGTAAGGTAAAGGTCGAAGATGCTGGGGATGACTATGATTATGCTAATGTTAGAATACTTTAAATTTTTAATTTTTTTTTTTAAATAAATTAATTACCTTTATTTGTTTATTATTTTTTAAACTTTAAACAATAATCTGCTTGTTTCTTTATAATGAGTTGTCGAAATAGACAAAACATAAGTATCAATTCAGTAGCGTTGTTCAATGGTGGAGATAGAGTCAGTGGTGATGTAAGAGATTGAACATTATATATATATATATATATATACTGTTATAATTTTATATTTTTATTTAATTTTAAATTCTTTATTTAAAAATATATCTATGTTTGATTTTATTTAGTTAAGCATTTTATCATTTGCTTCAATTTTGGCTTTTTTGTTTTTTTTTAAACTAATCAAATAGTCTAAATTTTTTGTGGTTTTAATTAATGAATTAGTCTTATGCCTAAGTGTCTTGGTTATTTCTGAAGACATGGTATGCTGTTGGTGGCTAGGCCCACCCACAACAACTAAGTCTTCAGGTTCAATTCTTGTTTGAGTAATCTGGTAGGGCAACACATCAATGATTTCACCAGAGCCAAAAGTTTATATGGTTCAAAGGAGGACTTTGTATGAAAATTGACAGATTTTTATATGCATGTACTACTGTTTCAAAATGAGTACAATCACGTTTCTTGCTCTTATGTGGTTATGGAATCATGGAAAAATAATTTACTTCCTGCTGATATATATATATATTTATTTAAAATTTTCATGATTGTTTATTGGAAATTGCATAAATTGTTTAAGAACGACTGAATTATATAAATGAAATATAGCTAAATAATTGATAAATTTTCATTGGCAGGTCTCACACAACTCTAGCAACTTACATCTCAACAATTCTTTTCTACATTCCATCAATCAATTGCACAACGACAACAACAGTAACTGGGTCAACCAATCGGAAAGAGATTACCACAGCGACCTACTATCCAGCATTTCAATTGGCAGACTAAAAAAGCAAAAAGCTCATTTGTTGAATTTTCATTCCAATCAGAAGCAGTCACCTCAGCCAATCTTTTCTTACAAGGTTTTACATTTTTAACATGGAATTTTTAAATTTACAGAAACTGTGATTTAAGTAGTAGCACACAATCAGCAGTTTCACCATTCATCATTATTGCTACCTCCTCAATCACCACCACCATCCTCATCATCACCATCATTTCAAAAGTCATCATCAATCATGACGATGATGATTGTCATCTTCGTCATTGCCGTCATCAGAATTTTGCATCATCATCACTTTTATCCCATTTTTCATTACCATTATAATATTCATTATTTCCTTGTTATTGTCATAATAATAATAATGATAATAATAATAAAGATAATAATGATAATTATAATGATGATGATAATGTCATTTTATATAATGCCATAGCAAGCGACTGAGGCACTTGTGTTTATTTCAACAAACACACACACAGGGCATTTAAATACACGTGAATCAACCGATCACACACTCTTGCGTGTGATATGTGGGGATCTCTTTACATTCGAACACGGTCACCGCATCAGCAATGCCAGGCACCTTAACCATTACACCAGCACGCAAACATCCCCACCACCATCATCATCATCATCCTCATTAGCAACGTGCATCATCATTGTCTACGTCATCATAGCATAACATAACTGGATATGAATCCAATTTGGTCATATCCAAAACAATTAAAACCATTAATCCATAGAATCAGACATCCCAAAAAAAAAAGTTAAATTATCATCATTGCCATCATTCAGAGGCGTCTACTAAGGACGGGCTGTTGTGAAAACTGTGGTACGACGAAGACGACGGCCTGGAGGAGGTCTGAGTCGAAGGAGTTGTTGTGCAATGCTTGCGGTTGCTACTACAAACTACACAAGGTGTTTATGCTTGTCTTGGCTGCGTGTCTCTATGTCTGTTTGCCTGTTTGTGATGTATTTGTCTGTTTGTTAGTGTCTTTTTCTTCCCATTTGTCTGTTTGTCTGTCTGCTGAGATTTAGCCTGTCTGTGGGTCTGTCTGTTTGTTAGTTTATTTTTTGATGTGTTTGTTTGTGTTTTCGGTTTCGGATGGCTAACTTTCAAAATTTTTTTATAAATTAGCATATTTTCATTTTTTTTTCCTTCACAGAAGTTTTCTTACTAAATAAAATTTGTTTGGTTTGTGTATCTCTTATGTTTCATTTGTTTTCAAAATTTGTTGGTTTGTTTGATGTGTGTTCAACTGCCAGATATTGCTCATAAAAAATGATCTATAACATCCACCCACCCGTCCACCTACCCTATCCCAGGTTCACAGACCACTGCACATGGCCCACAACGAAATTCGAAGTAGGACCCGGCGGGTCAATCGATCCATGGCACTGACGTCATCGGCGATGATGTCATCGTTGGATGCAGGCAACCTTCTCCACGACAACGGACAGCAGCTGATTGGTGAACATTTGCCTGGCGGCAACCAGCAAATCGTTACTTCATAATGTTATTATTATTATTATTATTATTATTATTGTTTTTATTATTATTGTTGTTTTTATTTAATTTTTATCATTGTTGTTGTTGTTGTTGTTGTTTATATTATTATTTAATAATCTGATGTAAAAAATTGATCTTATGTCTATGTAATTGGATAGTAACAGACACTCACGCACGCGCACGCACACACTCGCACACAAACACACACACACCAAACACACACGCACACAAGCACACACCATTACCACTTTTTAATATTTTGGTTAATCTATGTTTAATTTTCATTTCATGTCATTTTTTTTGAAAGATTAAAATAACTTAATTTGTTCATTCATTTAATTTTTTATTTATTCATAATTCTTCTTTCAGATTTCCTATACATTTTCTTTTTTAATTATTTATTTTATTTTGATTTCAAATTATATATATATATATTTGAATATATATATATATATATATATATATATATATATATATATATATATATATATATATATATATATATATATATATATATATATATATACTTATTTATTTGTACATATGTGTTCACATATATATATATATATTATTGATATATATATATATATATACACACGTGCATACGCACATAAAGTTTCCCCGGGTTTTTGACAATGTTATTCTTACACATGTTTCATTTAATTGCTTTTTAGTTTCACCTTTTTCTTTTAATCTGTACTACACAATCTGTTCATTAAAAATTCTTTATTTATGATCACACAATGATGATGCTGATGATGACGGTGATGATGATGATAATGACGGTGATGATGTAGATCTGATGAAATTAGGAGTATGTAAAAATGATTTCGTTTATGATGATGATGATGATGGTATGATTGTTATTATGATGATGATAATGATTCTGGTTGGGGTGATAATGATGGTTGTATAGTGATAATAGTGATGATGATGATGATGATAATGATAATGATTCTGGTTGTGGTGATAATGATGGTTGTATAGTGATAATAGTGATGATGATGTTGATGATGACGATAATGATTCTGGTTGTGGTGATAATGATGGTTGTATAGTGATAATAGTGATGATGCTGATGTTGATGATGATAATGATTCTGGTTGTGGTGATAATGATGGTTGTATAGTGATAATAGTAATGATGATGATGTTGATGATGATGATGATGATGGCCATAGTGATATTAGTACCATGATGATGATTTCGGTGATGATTATGATGATGGTGTACGTAATGTTTTTTTTTATGTTTTTCTTTTTAATTTTTGTGTTTCCATATTTTTTTTTAAATTTCTATTCTACGTAACTAATTATCATCATTCACCTTTCTCATCATTGATTTATTAATCAATCAATCAATCAATCAATCAATCAGCCAATCAAACATTAATAGCATTTGTACAACTGCTACTACTACTACTACCACTGCTATCATTACTACCACTACTACTACTTCTACCACTAATACTACTACTACTACTACTACTACTCTACTACTACTACTACTACTAATAGTAATACTGCTACCACTGATTCTTGTCATTATTCATTTTATTAGAATAGTTAGAATAGTAGAATAGTATATATCATTGTTAAAGTTAGAATAGTATACAGTTTTCCAACTCATTCTCGAGTGTCTGTATAGAACCTATTCCGGTTTCCTATACAATCGAGTATGAATTGGAATACTGTATATTATACTAACTTTTATAATATAAACAATGACGACAAGGATCTGGTTAGAATTATTGAAAAATGTAATAAAAAACTAACTATCCAACGTTAGAAATTCGGTAGATTTCATAAATTGCTGCATTTGAAGGAGAATATATATATATATATATATATATATATATATATATATATATATATATATATATATACTTATTAATTGAGGATAATTAATGACAGGGGCAACAACTTAGGAGCACACAAACAAACACATACAGTAAAAATAATTTAACTAATTTATCTCAGCCCGTCAAGGCAATACAATCTATACACGTTATACTGTGTTATTAAATGTTACAATTAGATTTTATTTTTTACTAAAATGAATGTACACTGAAATATTTTTATACTTAAGTTAGTGGTATTTTTGTATTACGATATTACTAAATTAATATAATAATATTACTAATGATAATTAAAATGAAAATTATTGTATAATGCTACACGGATGACAAGTTCTTGTAAGATTACTTTAGCAAGAATTGCTAGTATTTTTTATGAGATTTTTGTTTATTTTTACAACACGTAACCACCTAAACTATACAATACTACTATTTATATTACTGCTACTTTACTTTACAATTACTATAGTTACATATTAACATTGCTCTTACAATCCACACGCTAATAAACCAACACTATATCATGTATCACTATTTTACTTTTAATAATACTACTCTAGATATTACTGATTTTTTTGTAATTAAATGTAATTTAAATAAAATTTATTTTTGACAGACGAAAGGCATGAATCAAAATAATATTTTTTAATTTCACACCTGATATATATATAGAGAGAGAGAGAGAGAGAGAGGGAGAGAGAGAGAAAGATGAAAATCAGAGTATGTTCCTCATTAGTTGGCTTCGATTTTTCTAACGGTAGACTGTAAATCATTGTCAATTGTCAAGTTGCTTGAAAAAATTTCTTGACAAAACCAAAATTTTATTTATTTTAAGCATGATAGAACAAAGAACAGAAAAGCTTTTTTCGCTATTCCTATACCATCTTCGAATAAAGCTGTTCTATAATTTTTGTTCTGAACTCAAGAAACTTGACGATGATTTACAATCTACCGTTAAAAAAATCGAAAAATTTAACAGGAAGCTAACTAACGCGGAACATTCTCATCAATAATTGCTTTCTGACGGTCCTAATCCAATATATATATATATATATATATATATATATATATATATATATATATATATATATATATATATATACTTTATTACTTTCTAATATTTATTAACATTCTTTCTTACTTTCATATGTCTATATAATGATACGTTGATACTTTGATTGTTGTACTCGTGTGTGTAATGTTCGTGTCATTTTGTATTATTCATATATATAAATAATATATATATATATATACATATATATATATATTTATGTATGTGTATATTTTTTTTCAATGTTGTTTACGTGTTGTAAAAGTTTTTATTATCCTAAAAAATGTGAAAATAAATTATTTACTATTTAATTTTTGAAGAATTTTTTTGATAAGTGAATTAAATTTAAGTTATAAGAATATTAAAAATAATTAATGTTTTAAATAATATTGTTATAAATAAATATATAAATAAAATATTTATAATGTAAATTAGGAGATCAGATCGATAGTATTATTATTTGCCAAGATTTGTTGAAGAAAAATGCAGGCACGGACATGCACTAATACATGCATACACACACACACATACATACGTACGTGCGTACATACTTTCATACACGTACACACATATATACATACGTACACACATAAATGCACTCACACACATACATACATATATAAATATATACACACACACATACATACATACATAAACACATGCATACAAATTAACATTAAAGAGTGAATGCAAATGAGACGTAATGTTAAACATCCGTTATAATAATTTTGAATGAACCATCTTTTTTAATTACCATTTATAACAATTTTTAACGGTAAGAATAATTATTATAATGGCTTCGAAGTTTATGATGATAATAATCATTATTACTATGAAGATGATGTTGTTTACGATGTTGATGACGTAATAATGAATGAACACGATTGGCTAGAAAAGAATGATGTCAGAGTGATGAGGGTGACTTCTTATACGTCAAATCAAAGGAAAGTCTATTAAAGTTGGTGAGCTGACCATACAATACATACAATGCCCTGCAAATACACAGTTCAGACCAGGTATTAACTGACCATACAATACATACAATGCCCTGCAAATACACAGTTCAGACCAGGTATTAACTGACCATACAATACATACAATGCCCTGCAAATACACAGTTCAGACCAGGTATTAACTGACCATACAATACATACAATGCCCTGCAAATACGCAGTTCATACCAGGTATTAACTAACCATACAATAGTTTATACCACAGCTATCGAATTAATTAACTTTCATAACCCTTCAATATAGGACCATTCGGTAAAATTAAACTTAGTTGCATTGTGTATACAATCACCAACATACACAAACATATACATACATATGTGTACACCACATCACTATACAAAATTGCACATATGTATTTATAAAAAGCACAGACATACAAAATTATGTACCATACATATTATACATTCAATACACATATGAACAGTAAAAACAAAAGGTTTAAAACTTCTCACAAACTCGATACACTTGAAGGTCAGGCGCTGAAAATGTGCACAGATGAAGTCAGACTCTCGTGCTCACGGAACTTTGGATGGAATTATTAATATTATTTTGAATGTGACGTCACTCAACGTTCGCTTGATTGTTGAAATGGTCATCACGTTAATCATAAGTGCATGCAAGTGGGGTTGGGAGATTTCGCCTTTCTCGTCCAAGTCGTTTTTAAGATAAAAAAGTTTGAATGAAGAAGTTAATTGAAAGTCTGACGAGCGAGCATTCAGGCAATGCAGACAGATTTATGAATATGCAAGCGTACCTGAGAATAGGCGTACAAACGTATGAGCTTCATACAAACACGTGAACATGCGGACAAACATGCCAACATGCGGACGAACATATGAACATGAGGACAAACATGAACATGCGGACAAACACATGAACATGAGGACAAACATGAACATGCATAAATGGTTTCCCAAGGTATAAGCACGCACGCACGCGTTACTTACATGCATTATGATACGAAGTCACTTTTTATGGAAAAAATATGGACATATAAAATTTATAGGGAAAAGAAGCACGTGTATGATAATGATATTTAATATGACAATGATGATGATGATGAGGAGGAGGAGGATGATGATGAGGA